ATTAGTACATGTGTATAGAGTGATGGCTGGGAGCTCGGTTCTCCTGATATATATTAATGATCTGGATCTTGGTGTGCAGGGGACAGTTGGAAAGATTGCGGATGACACAAAACTTGGAAAAATTGTAAACTGGGAGAAGGACAATATAGAACTCAAAAAGGACGTTGGGATAAATATAAATGACTTGGATGAAAATGTAGATGGGTGGGTGAGTGAGTTTGCAGACGATACAAAGATACAAAGATGATACAAAGATCAGTGGAGTTGTGGATAGTGTAGAAGGTTGTCAAAGGATACAGCAGGATATAGATCAGTCACAGAAATGGGTGGAGGAATGGCAGATGGAGTTTAATCCGGGTAATTGTGAGATGCATTTGGGAGATCAAATGTTAAGGAAAAGTATACAGTTAATGGTAGGACTCCGAACAACTTTGATGTACAGATTTGTGAGGAAGTGGCCTCACAAATAGATCGGATGGTTAAGAAGGCATATGGCAAGCTTGCCTTTATTGGTCAGGGAATGGAGTACAAGAGTCAGGATGTCATGTTGCAGCTTTATAAGACTTTGGTTAGGCCACACTTCGAGTATTGTGTTCAATTCTGGTCAGCACATTACAGGAAGGATGTGGAGGCTTTGGAGAGGGTGCAGAAGAGGTTTACCAGGATGCTGCCTGGATTAGAGGGTATGAGCTATAAGGAGAGGCTAGAAAAATTCGGGTTGTTTTCTCTGGAGTGGAGGGGCTGAGGGGAGACTTGATAGAAGTCTATAAAATTATGAGATACATAGATAGGTTTGACGGTCAGAATCTTTTTCCTAGAGTTGAAATGTCTAATACTCCGGGGATTGCATTTAAGGTGAGAGGGGGCAAAGTTCAAAGGAGATATGGGGGGCAAGTTTTTTTACAGAGAGAATGGTATTTGTCCGAAATGCGCTGCCAGGGGTGGTGGTGGAGGCAGATACAATAGGGGCATTTAAGGGGCTTTTAGATAAGCACTTGGATATGAAAGGAATGGAGGGATATGGACTAAGGACAGGCAGAAGGGATTAGTTTCATTTGGTGTCATGTTTGGCACAGCATTGTGGGCCGAAGGGCCTGTTCCTGTGCTGTACAGATCTATGTTCTAAATTTGTACAGTAGGCAGGTAGGTCACTGATGAGATTCGATGCAGAGGTGTGAGCTGATGCACTTTGGTTGGAAGAACATTGAAAGACAGCATAAAATAGGGGGTACAATTGTAAAGGGGTTTCAGAAGCAGAAGGACTTGGGAATATAATTAAACATGCAGTTTCCTCAGTTTGATTAATAGGGCTGTAGAGTCCAAGAGCAAAGGGGCGATGTTAAACTGGTATAAGACATTTGCTTGACCTCAGCTGGAGTATTGTGTACAGTTCTGGGTGCCACATTATAGAAGGGTGTGAATACACTGGAGACTGTGTGAATAAGCAATTTACAAGAATGGTTCCGCTCATGAGAAACTTTGATAGTGAGGAAATCATAGAATTCCAGCAGTGTGGAATCAGGCCATTCAGCTCATCCCAACCCTCCAAAGAGCATCCCACCCAATCCCTGTAGCCCTGCATTTGCCATGGTTGACCCACCTAAACTACACATCCCTGGACACTATGGGGCAATTTCCCATGGCCAATCCACCTAACCTGCACATCTTTGGACTGCAGGAGGAAACTGGAGCACCTGGAAGAATCCCACATAGACTTGACAAGAATGTGTAAACTCCACACAGACAGTAGTCTGAGGGTAGAATCGAACCTGGGTCTCTAGCGAGGTGAGGGAGAAATGCTAACCACTGAGCCACCGTGATGCCCCAATAAGTTGGGACTGTTATCTTTGGACAGAAGAAGGCTAAGAGGAGATCTATTCGAGATTTTCAAAACCACCAGTGAACTAGATAAGAGTAGATAGGGTCCAACGATTCCCACTTGTAAAAGGAAAAAGAATGGGAGAGTATAAATTTTGAAGTGATTTGTAAAAGGAACAAATATGATGCAAGAGAAAACTTTTACTTTGCATAGCAAGTAGTTGGGGTGTGGAATGCAAGAGGGAACTGGACAATTATTTAGATGGAGACGATGCGCAAGGAGACAGGGAAAAAGCAGATGTTTGGTATCGATTCTGTTTTCAAAACCCAGTGCAGACGCAAAGGGCTGAATGGCCTTCTCCAGGAGCGCAACACTTCTGTGATTCTGCAGAATGTGTGCCCGTTATTTTGAAAGCATTGTTGCTGCTAACTTATGATTATTGTCTTGTTTTAATACTGTGGTGTTGAGTTGATGAATGCTTTTATAGAGTCGGGTCATAGAGTCATACAGCACAGAAACAGACCCTTCGGTACAACCAGTCCATGTCGAACATAATCCCAAATTAAACTAGTCCCACCTGCCTGTGCTTGGCCCATATCCCTTCAAACCTTTTCTTTTAATGCACTTATCCAAACCTATTTTAAACTTTGTAATTGTACCTGCATCCACCACTTTTTCTGGAAGTTCTGTCTATTCACAAACCATCCCCGTGTAAAAATGTTGCCCCTCGTGTCCTTTTAATAAATTTTTTTCCTCTCACCTTAAAAATATGCCTCTAGTTTTGAACTCCCCTAATCTAAGCAAAAGACCCTTGTCTTTCATCTCATGATTTTATAAGCCTCGATAAGGTCACCCCCTCAAAAACCTACACTCCAGTGAAAAAAAAAGTCCCAGTCTTTCCAGTCTACTTTTATATCTCAAACCTTCCATTCCTGGCAACATCCTGGTAAAACTTTCCTGAACCCGGTCCAGTTTAATAATATCCTTGCTATAACAGGGCGGCCAGAACTAGACACTGAAATGTTAACTCCAATTTCTCTGCACAGATGCTGCCAGACCTGCCACCCTGGTTAGAATCTCTTCCAACTCTTGCATCGGGCAGGACATACAAAAGCTTAAACACACGCGCCAACAGGTTCAAGAACAGCTTTCCAGCAATCTTTATTTTTGCCACTGAAATCCAAAATGTAATCCCTAAAAAAAGTTGTGCCTTTTTCCTAGCATCTGCAACATTTTGCACTTCCTGATTTGCTCTAAGTGTGACATACATAAGTGTGGTCAATTTCAATTTAAGGCAAGAAAATATTTAACATTCAGTTGCAAAGTATACTTTATACTGTTATCCGCTTCTGTGGATAAACATAGCATGTTACTGTAGATGAATAAGTCGGTGCTAATTGTCTGGAATATTTTTGTCATTTTTAAACTTGGAAGTGAAACCAGGAATCATGCAATAATAGAATGCATCACTGTTAGTGCAAAATGTTCCCATTTGTGTATCAGATTATTATTGGATGCGGTTGTTGTGATTATTTTTTGAATGTTATTGCTGTCCTGATAATACATAGGACCAGGTTCAACGAAGCACCTCATTTTCTACCTGGGGACCCTGCTGCCCTCCAGACTCAATATTGAGTTCAATTACTTTAGAGCCTGAGCTCTCTCATGTCCTTACCCCAAACCCCACACACCAGGCCTTGTTATCACATAGTCTGCTATTACACACAACCCATTGTTAGCCACTAACAGGTATTCACCCTCCTAGCTAGATTGTTATCCACTCCTTTCTCTGTCTAACTGCTGTTCTCTCTCTTGGGATCTATCTCCACCTATCCTTTACTCCTTAGCCCCTCCCCCACCCTATCTTCTGCGTATAAACTGAAATTTTCCTAGCTACCACCAGTTCTGAGGAAGGGTCACTCGACCCGAAATGTGAACTCTGATTTCTCTCCACAGATGCTGCCAGACCTGCTGAGCTTTTCCAGCAATTTCTGGTTTTGTCTCTGATTTCCAGCATCCGCAGTTCTTTCATTGTTTTTTCCAAAGAAGCAGAGCTGGTTTCATAATATGAATGACCAATTTGTGTGCAATTACCTGACACAGCCATGGCTGTTGGATTTGGTTTGATTTATTATTGTCACCTGTATCTAGATATAGTGAAAAGTTTTGTTTTGCATGCAGTACAGGCAGATCATACCATTCAAAGTGCATTAGGGTAATAGAACAGAGCGAGGGATACAGAGGGAGGCTGCAGAGAAGGTGCACAGAGAGCAAAATCGACATTGGGTATGAAATTTGAGAGATCCACTCAGAAGTTTAATGACAGCGAGAGAGAAGCTGTTCTTGAATCTATTGGTGCGTGTGTTTAAGCTTTTGTATCTTCTGCCCGATGCAAGAGGTTGGAAGAGATTCTAACTGGGGTGGGAGGGGTCTTTGATGATGTTAGCTGCTTTTCTGAGGCAGCCAGAAGTGTAGATGGAGGGTTGGCTTGCGATCATACTGAAATCTGCACATTTTGCGTGCTTTATACATCAAAACTTTGATTACGTAAGTCAAGTAGTTGTACAAGACCTCTACAGAATGGCTTGATTCCACTTTGTTTATGGTTTCCAATTTCTTTTCCCCCCTTATTCATTCACAGGATGAGGGCATCGCTGGCTAGGGCAGCATTTATTGCCCATCCCTAATTGCCCAGAGGGCAGTTCAGAGTCAACCACATTGCTGTGAAGGTCTGGAGTCACATATAGGCCAGACCAGGTTAAGATGACATTTTCCTTCCCAAAAGGGCATTAATGAGCCAGATGGCCTTTCCCCCAGCAATCAGCAATGGATTCTTGGTCATCATTAGATTCTTAATTCCAGATTTTTTTTTAATTGAATTCAAATTCCATCATCTGCTGTGGTGGGATTTGAACCTGGGTCCTCAGAATGCTATCCAGGTGTCAGGATTAACGGTCCAGCAATAACACCACTAGGCCATTGCCTCCGTCCAGGGCACCAGAAGCATGTGAGAGGGTGGGTTAAAAATGAACAGGAGAGAGGGGTGACTGAGGGGCTCAGAAATAGAAAAAGCACATGACATCTCTCCTTCACTCTGCTCATAAACCAAATTACTATAATAATCTAGTAAGTCAGCCCTGTGTTCTAACTGTAATAAATGAATTCTTTTGTTCTTCAACAGGTATATCGCAATTGTCCACCCCAGCACAGAGAAAAGGACCATCTGTCGCGCAGTGCTTGTGAATGCTCTCGTTTGGCTTGGCAGCTTGTTACTGACAATCCCAGTCATGCTATATTCCAGGACTATCCAGATAGGAGGCTCAGAAATATGTGTCCTGGACCTACCTTCAGGAGCAAAGGACATGTACTGGTATACACTGTATCAGTCCATACTGGGATTTATCATTCCTCTGATTATTATAATCACTTTCTACTCAATGACTCTCTTTCACGTCTTTAAATCACTCCGAAGAGTGGGTAGGAAACAATCAGTGCAGGCAAAAAGGGCAACCAAAACTGTTCTCATGGTGATAGCTGTCTTTCTGGTTTGTTGGCTGCCTTTTCATGTGATGCAGGTGCTTAACCTAATCTCCGTGAACCCGACCTTGCTCTTTCTTTACGTCTATCACATTAGTATTTGTCTGAGCTATGCCCACAGCTGCATCAACCCTCTCCTGCTCCTGTTCTTCACAAAGAATTTCCAAGAGCGTTTGTGTGGCACGATGACAAAGAGCAGGTCCACCTCACATGTCAAGTTGACCACCACCAGAAGGGCTGGAACTTGCGAAAGCCTGGAAATTGAGTGTAAAAGCTCAATGTAAATCCTCTCTGAGGTTATGGCAAACATTTAACACAATGGAAACTCTTTGTTTCCACTTTAATAAAGACACAAAGACTCAGAGCCTTCAGCAACTGTGGAGAGAGGAACTGTGATAATATTTCCTCTGGTTTTCCTCTGGATTTCTCTTTTCATAGACGCTGCCTCAACGTTCTCAGCACTTCTAGTTTTTATTTCGAATCTACAACATCTGCAGCACTTTGCTTTGATTCTATTAACAATCTACTTCAGAATAAACTAAGTTTAGTTCTCAGATCAGTTCTGAGGAAGGGTCACCGGACCCAAAATGTTAACTCTGTTTTCTCCTTCGCAGATGCTGCCAGACCTGCTGAGCTTTTCCAGCAATGTTGTTTTTGTTCTGGATAAACTAAGACTATTTTCCTGTAGGAGGTTGAGGGCTGACCCTATAGAGGTCTATAAAATCATGAGGGGTAAAGGTAAGGTGAATAGCAAAGGTCTTTTTCCCCAGCGTGGGGGAGTCTAAAACGAGAGGGAATAGTTCTAAGGTGAGAAGGGAAATATTTAAAAGGGGCCTGAGGGGTAACATTTTCACACGGAGGGTGGTGCATGTGTGGAATGAAGTGCCAAAAGGAAGTGGTAGTTACAACATTTAAAAGACGTTTCAGCAGGTACATGGATAGGAAAGGTTTGGAGGGATATGGGCCAAATGCAGGCAACTAGGGCTAGTTTAGTTTGGGGAACTTGGTCAGCATGGACAAGTTGGGCCGATGGGCCTATTTCTGTACTGTATGACTCTAACTTCAATCCTGTGTGAGTTTGACATTTATCAAAACGTTTCAGACTCTCAGAATGGAAGTCTGTAAAGGTCAGGTCGAAATTTGAGGGATATAGAGTAGGTGCTGGGTACAGAATGAAGAACCTTTAAATTTGACCCAGCAATATTCCTTCGATTAGCTGTTTCAGGTGAGATAGAGAGGGATGTAAAAGAGGTGGGGGAGTAGTGTTACTGATTAGGGAGAATATCTCAGCTGTATTGAGGGATGATACCTTGGAGGGCTCATTCAGCAAGGCAATATGGGTAGAGTAGGAAGGGTGCAGTCACTCTGATAGGATTGTTCTACAAGCCACCCAACAGCAAGTGGACATAGAGGAACCGATATATGGACAGATTATAGCAAAACATGGAAACAACAGTGTTATTGCAGTTGATGATTTTAATTTCCTCAAATATTGACTGGGACTCCCTTAGTGCCAGGGGCTTGAATGGGGGCTGGGGGTGTGGAATTTGTTAGGTGTATCCATGAAGGTTTCTTGAAGGAATATGTAAATAGTCCAATTGGCGAAGGGATCATATTAGACCTGGCACTGGGGAATGACCCTAGCCAGGTGATCAAAGTTTTGGTGGGGGAGCATTTCAGGAAAAGTGACCATAATTCTGTAAGCTTTAAATTACCTGGAATCAGATAAACCCTATAGTACAGAAAGAGGCCATTCAGCCTGCACCAACCCGCCAAAGACCATTCCACCCAAACCCCATAATCCCTACACAGGGTTTTTAACCACGACTGATCCAACTAACCTGCACAATATTGGGGCACTTTTTTTTTAAATGGCCAATCCACCCTAATCTGCACATCTTTGGACTATGGGAGGAAACCAGAGCACCCGGAGGAAACCCACACAGACACGGGGAGAATATGCAAACTCCACGCAGACAGTTGCCTGAGGGTGGGATCAAACCTGGGTCCCTGGTGCTGTGAGGCAGCAATGCTAACCACTGAGCCATACTATGGATAAAGATGAGTAGACCTTGGATGAAAATACTAAATTGGGGAAATGCTCACGGTGACAATATTGGGCAGGAACTGTCGTAGTAGGCCAGGGTCAGCTGTTTGAGGGTAAATCGACATGATCTAAAGAAGGGCCATTGGACCTGAAACGTTAACTCTGCTTTCTCTCCATCGATGTTGCCAGATCTGCTGAGTTTTTTGAGTAATTTCCAGTTTTGTTTCTGATTTCCCAACATCCACAATTCTTTGGATTTTTGTTTTATCTGGCAGGTGGGAATCTTTTAAAGACCAGTTGATTAGAGTTCAGGACCAGCATGTTCCTGTAAAAGTGAAGGATGAGGATGGCAAGATTTGGGAAACTTGGATGACAAAAGAAATTGTGAGCTTAGTCAGAAAGAAAAGAAGAGGCATATGTAAGGTTGAGGAAACTGAAGACAGGCAGAGCCCTGGAGAAATTTAAAGAAAGCAGGAACAAAATTAAACAAGCGCCATGAAATGACCTTGGCAAACAGGATTAAGGAACATCCCAAGGCTTTTTGTACATGCGTAAGACCTAAAAGGGTAACTAGGGAAAGAGTTGGTCTACTTAAGGACAAAGGAGGAAATGTATGCATGAAACCATAAGATGTGGGTGAGGTCCTTAATGAATACTATTCACAAAACAGAAGGGCATGGTGGATGGTGAGTCCAGGGAGGGGTATGTTGAGATTTGAGGGCACAATAATATAAAAAGGGAGGAGTTGTTGGGTGTTTTGAAAAGCATTAGGTTAACAAATCCCCTGGACCTAATGAGATCTATCCCAGAACACTGAGGGAGGTGAGGGAGGAAATTTCTGGGGCCTTGTAAAAATCTTTGTATCCTCTTTTAGTCACAGGCAAGACCTCTGGAGACAAGGATGTTCCTTTGTTTAAGAAAAGCAACAGGGATAATCTGAGAAATTACAGGCCAATGAGCCCTACCATCAGTGGTAGGGAAATTATTGGAGAAGATTCTTAGGGACAAGATTTATTCACATTTTTAGAAAAAATATGGACTTATTAACGATAGGCAGCATGGCTTTGTGAGAGGAGGTCTGGTTGCACAAACTTGAATGAGTTATTTGAGGAAGTGACCAAGATGATTGATGAAGGCAGGGTAGTGGAAGTTGACTATATGGATTTTAGCAAGGCTTTTGACAAGATCCCTCATGACAGGTTCATACAAAAAGTGAAGTCCCATGGGATCTACAGTGAGCTGGTAAGATCTGGCTTAGTCATAGAAGACAGAGGGTAATGGTGGAAGGTTGTTTTTCTGACTGGAAATCTGTGACTAGTAGTGTTCCACAGGGATCTGTGCTGGGACCCCTGTTGTTTGTAATGTATGCATAAATGATTCGGAGGAGATTATAGGTGATCTGATTAATAAGTTTTCAAATAACACAAAAGGTTGTAGGAGCTGTGGATACTGAGGAGGATTGCAGAAGGATGCAGCAGGCTATAGATAAGCTGATGACTTGGGCAGAGAAATGGCAGATTGAAGTTAATCCAGACAAATATGAGGTGATGCATTTTGAAAGGTCTAATGCAGCAGGGAAGTATATAGTAAATGGCAGAACCCCATAGAAACATTAACATAAAGGTTCAAAGTTCCCTGAAAGTGGCAACACAAGTGGATAAGATGGTCAAGAAGGCATATGGCATGCCTGCTTTCATTGACCAGGGCATAAAGTATAAAAATTGGCAAGTCATGTTGCAGTTATATAGAGCTTTGGTAAGGCCACATTTGGAATATTGCGTACAATTCTGGTCAACCATGCTACCAAAAGGATGGGGAGGTTTTGGAGAGGGACGGAAATGTTGCCTCATTTGATGGGTATTAGCTAGGAGGAGAGATTGGGCAAACTTGATTTGTTTTCATTTGGGTGTCGGAGGCTGAGGGGATCCTGATAGGAGTTTACAAAATTATGCGAGTAATGGATAGTCTTTTTCCCAGGGTAGAAATGTCAATTACTAGGGGAACATAGGTTTATGGTAAAAAGGGGGAAGGTTTAAAGGAGGCAAACATTTTGCACACAGGGTGGTAAGTGCCTGGAATGTGCTACCCAGAGGAAGTGTTAGAAGCAGTTACAATAGTGATGTTTAGCAGGGAGTAGAGGGATGTGGATGCTTAGGGGGCAAAAGGTTTTAGTTTAGAAAAGCGTCATGTGTCGGCGCATGCTTGGTGGGCCGAAGGGCCTGTTCCTGTGCTGTACTGTTCTTTGGTTGCTATACAACTAATGCCAGACTAACACCCTGACCTATCTGTGCTGCAGTGCAATATGGAAATATTTGCACCGTGTAAATCTGACAAAATGCAAAATATATAACTATTTTCCCATGTAGTGGGTTTAAGCAAAAGTGGATGTAGTAAGGAAAGTATGTTTGAAAAGATGTTAGTTTCCCCCCTGCTATCTCGCTGGAGACAAAGATTACAAAGGGATAGTGATCAAGTGGGCCAATGGGTTGAGGAGCGGCAAATGGAGGTTAATTTGGATAAATGCAAGGTGTTGCATTTTGGTAAAAGAAACAAGGGCAGGACTTACACAGTTAATGGTAGGGCCCTGGGTCGTGTTGTCGAACAGAGAGATACTAGGGGTTCAGGTACATAGTTGTTTGAAATTTGCATCACAGGTAGACAGGATGGTTAAGAAGGCGTTTAGCATGCTTAACTTCATTATTCAGACCATTGAGTATAGGAACCAAAGGAACTGTGGATGCTGTAAATCAGAAACAAGAAAGAAATTGCTGGAAAAGCTCAGCAGGTCTGGCAGCATCTGTGGAGGAGAAAACAGAGTTGATGTTTTGGGGTTGAGTTTAAGGTTTTGAGGAAGGGCCACTCGACCTGAAACATTAACTCTGATTTCTCTCCACAGATGCTGCCAGATCTGCTAAGCTTTTCCAGCAATTTCTGTTTTTGCTGCCATTGAGTATAGCAGCTAGGACATTATGTTGAGGTTGTACAGGATGTTGGTGAGGCCACTTTTGGAGCACGGTGTACACTTTGAGTTGCCCTGCTATAGCAAGGATAATATTAAATTGGAGACGGTTCAGAAAAGATTTACCAGGATGTTGCCTGATTAGAGGGCCTGAGCTATAATGACAGGCTGGGACTTTTTTCACTGGAACATAAGAGGTTGAGGGGTAACCTCTTATTAGAAATTTATAAAATCATGAGCGGCATAAATAAGCTGAATAGTACAGTCTTTTCCCTATG